CGGCGGCGAGGAGGAGGGTTGGAGGGGCCGAGGGGCGCCCAAGTTTTCGCCCCCTTTCTGCACCAAGTGCCTCATCTCGCCTCTTTTCTCTCTCTCTGTTTCTCCCCACTCGTAGTTGGGGAAGAGCCTCCTCGCCTTCGCCGTCCTGATGGGGATCGCCTCGGGGCTCCGGACGGAGCAGCAAAAAAAACCCAGGAACCTGAGCAGGGGGTGGGGAGGAAGGTGCCTGCGGCAAAAGTCTGGCTTTGGGGAGAAGGGGAGGGAGGAGGATGCAGGGGCCATGCCAGGAACCGGTCCCAGGGACAGGCTGCTTCAGGCCAGGGTGGCCGCCGCCGCCTCCGCCGCCGAGTGTGGGAGCCGGCGGAGCTCGCCTTTGCCCGCCTTCCTCTGAGGGAACAAAAGCGGGAGGACTGAAGCAAGATGGGGCGGCGGGATAACGGGCCGTCTGGGACTGAGAGGGGAAAAAAACTCGATTTTACGGTGTTTTTTCCCCCGAGGGGAGTTAGTAAAGTTTTACTTTAAAAAAAAAAGAAATATATATATACAGTAGATATACGCAAAGTTTAGGGAGAAAGAAAACCGAGGACTTGGAAATTTACCGTGAAGTATGGCTGTCTGTTTAAGGAGAGGGAAAAGGTCTGGGAGTGAAATAAGAGCGAAGAAGAACTAATTAGCTTTCCTCAGGCCATTTTTTAATTTTATTTTTCCCCCCTGCTTTTTGGTGAGGCGGTTTTCAAACATCTGTTCAGCGCCCTACTGCTCAGAAGCAAAGGTGGCCGCCTTATTTATTTATTTTAAATACCAGAAATGACGGAATGTTGCCTTGAATTCCCCAAGTTGCAGCTTCCCCCCCCCCAAAAAAAGTGAGGTCATGGGCAAAGTATTTGATAATTATGGCTGAAAAAAATGTGGTAATGATTTAAGGAAAATAAACTCTGGCTGCTTTTGAGACAGAGTATGCATTAGGAAGAGTGTAGGTCTCCAGGGTGATCTGCCTTGCCCTCTTCCTTCCACATATTTCCCCCTCCCCCCCTTTTTTTATTAATAGCAGATGGTGAACTCCACCCTAGACGATTGTAATTTTGTTCCAAGCAAAAATGGACTAATAAAGAAAAGAGAGTGTGCGCCGCTCTGTGTATATGTCTCCCTGTCTGCCTTAGCTTCACCAGCACTGAAACCCAGACATCTAAAACTGGGCACTCACAGTAAGGAGACAGTAAGGGTGGGTACTTGGTATTTATTTGGCTTTTTCAAATGGATTAATTAAATCAGTTAATTTGTAACCTTCAGCCACTAGGTGACAGGCTTCCATAATCAGCAGGATGCTGCTGGCTGGCATACCTCGTCCATTTCTCTGGAGGGCCTCTCAGCAGTTCCTCTCTGAAACAAAGGGCAAGTCACACCAATGTATAAAATTGTTGAGGTTTATTCCGTTCCACTGACATGCCAAAAATATGCAAAATAGATGTTTCCACAGATATCTGTACACTGAAGAACTCAGAATAATATACATCTCCAGTTTTGAGACATAAAATGGGAAATGTAGGTGATTGCTAACATTCACTAACGTATTTATTTTTATTCACTGTTCTGATAGCTTTGTAGTGCCATATGTTTTTTTTATGCACGTAAAAATAACTAAATACATTTTTCAGGTTCTTCCAAACTTATCTAGAATGGTTAGAATTCACCCATAAAACATTCTTCATCACAAATTGCCAGATCTGGACATGAAAAGGATTTGTTTTGAAGTAGTTGGAAGTGGATTAGGGGGAAGGCAAGAGGGTCTTAGAGCTCCCTTAAGTGCTATCGTTCCCCTGTGCCTGCTGTGTCAGGGCTAGCACTGTTCCTTTGCACAGAAACAAGAGATGCAACACAACAACAATAGCAAAAGAAGCAAAATCCCCCCCCCCGCAGACCCAAAGTAATCTAGCTGCACTGGTGGGCTTTCCCACTGACAGCACCGGAGATGGAATGATTACATTTGGAGTGGCTAAGCAGTTCTATAGCCCAGTAGGTATCGAGGATGCTGAATGAAATGAGAGGCTTCTTATACATAGTGATCAAGCCTGCCTGTGAACATTTACTGACATTCAGCCAAGCAGACCAAACCACACAGAGGTATTGGTGCCAAGTGTGCCAGGCGCAAATTTCCAGCAAGAGGGCAAAAAAAGGAAAATGGGCAGAATGCTCTTCAGATATCCAGTCAGAAGCTTCCTCAGCTGGAACTTTAAAACCACACCTCCAATGCAGCCTGCATCTTTCCTGTCTTAGATTTAAGAAACATGACTGGAAAATCCATCTGCCATGAACTTTTGGGACTCTAAGCTCTCTGCACTAATGAAAAGATGTTGGTGCAAGCCTGATGAAGTGGGACCTCATCCACAAAAGCTAGCAGACTGTATGAATTTTGTTAGTGGTCTGTAAAGGCTTCGTCTGCTCCTGTATTCGGAAACTAATAGGAACTGTTAGGGGCTGCTTGGAAACTCAGTTGACTGTTAATGCTACAAAACTAGACTATTACTGTCCCCTTGCTCATGTTCTCTGTGGCAAGACTCTGGCCAAGATGTAGAACCCTGGCCAAGTACTGGTGGGAACTGACTGTCACTATGTGTATCCGCTTATGGAAATAACTGAGAAGAACGGCAAGGGAGAACCTCTGTTGGGTGGCCCTTGGAAAACAAGAATGAACTAAAATGCAAGGGTGAGCATAGTTTGGCCTTCCAGATGTTTTGGAATCAGTTTCTATCAGGGCTAGCTAGTAATGAGGAATGCTGCAAGCTGTAGTCTGGCAACATCTGGAAGGGTGTTTCCCCTTTGTGAATTCATATACAAACCCATACACGTTCTAAGGCAGTGGTCCCCAACCTTGGGCCTCCAGATGTTTTTGGACTTCAACTCCCAGAAATTCTGGCCAGGAGAGGTGGTGGTGAAGGCTTCTGGGAGTTGTAGTCCAAGAATATCTGGAGGCCCAAAGTTGGGGACCACTGTTCTAAGGGACATAATGATGATAGTGGGTGTGTGTGTTTCATTTCTACCCTGTCTTCCCACTGCTACAGCTCATGGTTGTGCTGATACAGTGCAGCTCATGGTACAACCAACATAAAATATAAACAAACAGAAATAAATTCAACCATAAAAGCATTGAAATTGAATACAACAAAATATGATAAAAAACCATTAACATGTATAAATGGTTACACAGTCACAGTAATCATACTACAACCCACTTTAAAAATACATTTCACATATTTCCTTTATGCAGCAAGTATGGAAATTGATTGCAGCTTTGAGAAGGGGGCATTCTGCAGCCTTGAGGCCACACAGGAGAAAGCAGAGGAAGGTAGATCTGGAACGGATCTTTGTACCATGGCAGTTGTGTGTTTTAACACAGATTAAGCTAACCTACAGAAAGCTATTGAAAAGGGGAACTTTAATGGACAGCTATTGCATTGGGGAACGCAGCAGAGCTGCATACTGTATATGGCAAATAGCAAATAGAGTAATTTCCAAAGAAATAGCTGTGTTAGTCTGTCTCAGCATAATAGCAAGTAAAAGGGAAAAAAGAAAGGAAAGAGAAAGCAAAAGACTGTGACACATTTGTTACATTTATTTCAGGGTGATCTTTCATTAGTCAAAAGCCACTTCTTCAGACATAGGATATGCAAATATGTATATATGTACACATTTACCTATGACCAGGTGATGATACAAAACAATAAACCGTATTAGAATCCAGTTTAAATTGGCATATTTTTCCTATAGGTAGTAAGTATGGAAACTGATGACAGCACTGGCTGGGGAGCAGATAGTAGGTATTTGCATCCTCATCTGATTATGGGGACAGGTATAAATACAGAGAACATGTATTTACAGTCCTTGTGCCTGAAGAAGTAGATTTTGACCACTGAAAGCTCTCCCTGAAATAAATATATTAATCTTTGTGCCACATTAGTTTGCTTTTCTCTCTTTCTTATTTGCTCTCTCCTCCTTTAGTTTTGAATGTAAGTAAAGTAATTGAGTAGATATAAAAAATATATTTGGTTCAGAAATGTTATGGGAGGGGCAATGTGAACTCAAAAGGAAGTGAAGTTTGAGAACTGGTCGGGTCCTGACGTCCAGGCTGCTGTTGCAATCCCTGGCAAGGGATTGGGGCTAAAGAATATGCAGTGCCGACATTGCTACAAGGAAGAGGAGGAGGAAAGAGAGAAAGTATTCTTCCTTCAACCACACACTAGAGAAAAGACAGGGAAACAGATAGGAAAGAGATTGTGGAAAATAAATCTCGACTGATACAGATTACCTGTCCTTAATCTCATTACTGTCATTGTTTTTAAAGAAAAGCTAGGGGAGATTGCCATTCCAGTTTGAGCAATGCAAAGAAAAGGAAAATATTGAGCAGAAAGTCGAAGAGAGGATAGGCTAATAAAGATCTTAGGCCAGAACTTAGCATTTAGAGTTAAAATGTGAGATAATAGGATTGTCTGGCAAACTCCTGAATTCTGGAGGGAGGTGAGAGTGAATGTAATTTGAAGCTGACAATGATTCATCAGGAGGCCTCCAGAAACATGGAACAGAAGCTTCGGGCAGAGATGGAGACAGCAAATGAACCAAGAATGAATCCTCTGCCACTCCTGTGCATCTTTGTATAAGATCTTTTGGGCTGTTTTGTCCACTTCCTATGCTACATCTTCATTTTGTATTTGTTTCTTCGTTCCTGCTTTGCACATCTGGATAACCTTTCTCTATATGTTTATTCAGCCAAGAGAGGTAACATTATCAAAGGACAGTAATGGTTAAGGAATTATTCCACTGGCTTATTGGAGGGATGTGATGGCCAGGTTTTACCTAAGAAAACGACTGAGCACTGTGCAAACTGCTTTCCTGTCATGTAAGAGACTTTGAGAATAACAAGCGCAAAGTGATTCCTGTATCAGGATGTACTGCCTCATTCCAGGATGCCGTCTGCCTGGGGTGTTCTGATATGCACCAACATTTAAATAGGATTATTTGGGAGCCTTGCTCTCTAGTTTCCTCTTATGGAAGCTCATTTCCTAACTAGATCAGCAGGGCCTCATGTTGTCCTTCCCCTGTTATCTTTGTCCATTCCGGGGCCATCGCACTCGTAGCAGTCTCTGTTCTTCCAAACATAGGTTGAGTTTGACAAGCAATTCTGTG